AATGTTTGTTGATCAACTGTATCCATGGAAACGTCATCCCGTGACGGTTTGGTTTCTAAAAATCCGTGTTTGTCAACTCGTTCCGTAAAAATGGGTCTACATGTCACAATATATTGTTTCAAAGCTAAGAAACAGTACCGCCATAACGACTTAGGACATATGCCTTGTATTTCGCTGAAAGCCGATTTTCGCAAATATAATATACGCATCCTTTCCTCCTAGTATTTCCGAAAAATTGACTGCCAATTATATTGGTGTACACTCAAACTGACATACACGATGTGTCCAGGATCCGTCAGGACCCCCCCCCCTTTTTTTATTTTGCCCTCCAATGCCATCTGTTGGCGAGTTTTGGCGTTAAGATTCTTGAAGTTTCAGCTGTGGCTGTCTATAATTTCAAAGCGCAAGCATCGCTGTATCATGTGTTCTGACCTTGAATGTAACAGTACTGTTCTGACGCTCGTCGGAAAATGGCGGTTGAACAGAGAGCCAACATAAAATTTTGTTTGAAGTTAGGCAAAACAGCCGGAGAAGCGTACGAAATGATGAAACGTGTGTACGGTAGTGATTGTTTGAGTCGCTCGAACATTTTTCGATGATGTGCTGTATTTCGTGACGGCAGGGAGGACATTGAAGACACTCCACGTGCACCAAAGCCGAGAACAAGTCGCACTGAAGAAAATGTGAAAAAAGTTACCGAAATCTTTGCATGAGACAGGTGTGTTTCTGCAAGACTCATCGAGGAGCTTTTGGGAATACGAAAAAGAACTCTGCATCAAATTTTGACCGAGGATTTGGGCAAACGGAAGGTCTGTGCGCGGTTTGTACCGCACGCGCTGTCAGGCGATGAAAAACATTCCAGAGTGGAACACTGCAAAGACATGTTACGATCGGCCCAAAGTGATACAAAATTTACAAAATCGATTGTTACTGGTGACGAGACATGGTGTTTTCAATATGAGCCTCTCACAAAGCGGCAGAGTGCAGCATGGTTGAGCCCAAAGAAGCAGAAACCAAAGAAAGTGCTCATACAAAAGAGTCGAGTAAAGACACTGCTAACCGGTTTCTTCGATTCCAAATGAATCATTCACAAGGAATTTCTGCCAGAAGGTCAAACAGTGAATTCTTATTATTATCTCTGAGTCCTCAATCGTTTGTGGGCGAGGATTCTTTGAATTCGACGTGAATATCAAGAGCAAGGTTCCTGGTCGCTCCTCCACGACAATGCCCCACCCCACAAATCAGAGATCGTGCGTGATTTTTTTTGGCCAGAAAGGGGATCACAGTCCTTGATCATCCTCCGTATTCGTCAGATTTGGCTCAAACAGTTTTCTGGTTGTTCCCAGCAGTTAAGTTGGCGATGAAAGGAGACTGTCACGACACTATCCAGGACATCCAAAGGGACTGTACCGCAGTTTTAAATGCAATTACACAAAGGGAGTACAGTGACTGTTTTCGAAAACTTTTCAATCTATTCCAGCTATGTATTGATTCAGAAGGAGACTATTTTGAATAAAAAGAGTGAAATTTTGAAAATAATTCACCTCTTGTATTTTTAATGATCACAGTCCTAACAGAACCTGGTCACACTGTGTATTTTGTATCGATAGTTGCTTGCAGCATCTAAAACATGTTCATTACATTCTGTAAATTGGCGTACAAACAAAATAATATTCTCAACTTAAAATTTCAGTGTCGGTGTGAATATTTTACCATATACATAATAGGAAGAAATTTGTCAAATAGAAGCTGTAGAAGGTACTTAAATCTTTATTTTGAATAAGTAAATTCTATCGATATGAACAAAATTGAGTTCGCCGAAAACATTTGACGTAAGCCTCTACTACATAATGTATCTCGAGACACTGTGTAATTTATGAGGCTAGATGTGTGGAGAAGCTGGGAGGCACGAATACACGGTTACTCAATATTGCGTTCATTTTGTGCACGTCATGCGAAAAGCGAGTAATAAGAAGCTACATTAAGCAAAATATTCATAAACTATTACGTACTACCAGCGTTCCCGTGCAAAAGTTCTACAGTGAAATTACAAAAACTATTTCTGTTGTTCTTTGACTCACACACGTATCATTTTTGTGACCTTCAGAACACGATTCTTGTGGGGTATATCTTATAGGGAAATTTGTGTACACCAGCATTATAGCACACTGTTTATAATACACGACTGAGTTGTCTTAAAGTAAATAAAACTGCAAAATACGTAAGCCCATAATCTGGCGTTATCGATTTGCTTTGCCATGGTTACTATGAAGCGTAGACAGGTTATGTGTTCATTATCACCAGTTTTCTGATGATTTACTGCGGAAGAATCAACGGGAGACGAAACTGACTTGGAATCGAACTTCTGCTCGTAAGAGCTGAGTTATAACTTTCCCGAAGTTATAGCTTCATACGAACGTTTATTGTGCTTACTGCACTTTGTATGAAGCACTGTCTAGGAGAAACAGGACTGGACGAGCAGACGGATGTATATTATATATATAATATACATTACATTAAGCCCCATTTGAATTCATATGGGGAATCAGGATAGCGCATTCGGTATAGCGGTTGGCTACTGGCTGTACGACTGAGGTTTCGGAGTTCGAGTCACGGTAGAGGCAAAATTTTTCTCCTCTCTACGTCGTCCAGATCCGTTCTGGGGTTCACCCAGCCTCCCATCTAATGGGTAGCGAGGACCCTTTCCTTAGGGTAAAGGGCAGGGGCATGAAGCTGACCACTCATTTCTTAACTAGTGCCGAGGTCAAGAATACGTGGATCTATTCCTCGACCCTATCGTTCGTTTTCATGGCATAGAGCTTAATTAGTTAAGCACATGGACAATTTTACCGTTTAACTTTAATTTATATATATATGTTTCGGCCTCTGAATTTCCCTCTGCCTCTTTCCGTGGCTTGTGCCTCCAGGTATAGTCTTTAGTCAGCTTGACCTCTGCTCGCGTAGTTAGTGCAGTGGTAGAGATCTATATAGTCTCGTGTTAGATTGATTGGAGGTTGGAGATATTGACCAATTTAACACACAACTCGTGACTATACTCGTACTTAATTATAGCGGCATCGATAATTTCCACACTTTACAAAACACTACAGCACACCTTGAATTTTTCTGTCTGATTTCACTAGTCGTTTCCCAGTAACGGATCTTAACAATCGAGATCCTTCAACTGCACCGACCAAGTCGTCTCTTCACGGACTCCCTTACAACTGACTACTGACAACTGACTTACAACTTATCTCGGTTATAACATCTTGGCACGGACAGCGTAGAAGACAGCGTTCATTATTTTACTCCAAGCGTTTCAGTGGGAACGTGTTTGTTTGCGAAAGCGTTACCCAGTAACGGCTGTGGTATATTTGCCTATCTCACTGTCGCTGCCTAGTAACGGACGTTGTTTCGTTGTTTGTTTCCAGGCCAATAGTTACCGTCTACGCGCTGTAATAGTATCGACTGAAGCACACATCTGGCTGGATATCCGTTTTAGCCCAGATGAAAAGTAAATGTTGGAAATTATTATGTCAGCAGAGGGGATGTACGTGTAGATGTTAACATTGGATCCGATTTACGATATGGCCCCATTACTGACTTAAGCACGCACTTTTGATTTTCTTATGTGTGTGAGGGAGGAAGAAGGCACGTAGATCATGTGCACTTTTCCTTGGCAATTCCATATCAAAACTTAGTACACGTTTGAAGTTTCTGATTTCTGTAATACTATCACGTGTATGGGTGACTATAGACGGGGTTTGGATTGGTGATTGGATATATCGACTACTTACAGACCGTAGCTACAAGTAATTATAACGCTATTGCTAATCTCCACACTTTACAAATCACTTCAGCATGAGTTGAACTTTCTCAGTCTGTTTTCACCAGTCCTTTCCCAGTAACGGATCTTAACAATTGTGATATTATTCTCACATCGTTACTGTGCGGCGAATATCCCAGAACTGAACTTTTGCTCCAATTACCCCCCTTATAACACATTGACACGGACCGCATCGAAAACACCGTTTCCAACATTTCCTCTGGTCTTGAGCGTGGACTCATTGCCGTGGTAACCTGTTTATTTCACGGTCGCTGCCCATTAACAGGTCTACAAGCTACAATACACATAAAGCTGAGTGGTCCGTTGAAAATCAACCAACGTTTCGAAGGAATATGTCGCCTCTGTTCTGACTGATACCAGCTTCATGCTGGCTTCTTGCGTGTCTTATTCTTCGACCCTGAATTAGGAGGCTCCAAGGCGTTATAACAAGGCGTTATATCTCACAACCTAGAAGTCTCCATAACCAACAAACAAAACAAACTCCATGGTTTTAGTCAGCAGGCGAACTATACCGACAGAGCGATCGCCGCTTGTCGGCGAAGTTAGTGCCAACTTTTAACCACCGTTGTAAGAACCTCAGTTCCTGCATTTATTTCTTTTCTACGCTCTAAGAACAGGGGCACCTGGTAGCGTAGTTGGTTGAGGCACTATGCTGCAAGCCGGAAGGTCGCGGATTCGATTCCCGATGAGGTCATTGGATTTTTTTAATTACCTAATTCTTCCAAACGCAATATGGTCCTTGGGTCGACTCAGCCTCTAACGGAAACGAGTACCAGGATTCTTCCTGGGGGATAAAAGGCGACCGGCACGTAAGGCTGATAAACTTACCGCCATCCCTGAGCCGATTGTCTAGAAAATGTGGGAGTCTCGACATCTCAGGCCTTCACGGCCGGTTACAGGATAGTTTTATCTTTACCTTACGCTATAAGAATATTACATTCTGTCCATCAGCACTTTATAATTTGACTTCGGAAAAGGTGAAATTACTCTTAATGAAATTTTCTAATCTCCCAAGATGGCTGTGCTCCAGGAGCTTTTCGCTATATTTTTCTGTAAGCACTCTTCGAGTCACAGTGCAGGTTATTCAGTTCTGCTGTGAGTTGTCTTGTGTCTCTGCAAGATGCGTGCTGATGTATTGTGGGTTTAATTGCAGCTATGGAATACATTCCACCGACCAGAACTGGTGGTATCTGCTTGCAGGGAATCGCTCAGACTCTTAGGCCTTGAGTATCTGGACCTGTACCTCATGCATTGGCCTTTTGCTTTCAAGGTAAGGAAGAACTAGAATTGCCTGAAACTTAACCGCCTATTGTAACACGTCTGAACTGAAGTGGAAAAGTATATTTCTTCAGAATTTTTCGTACAAATACATATTTTTCTTTGTTCAACGCATCGAAGTATGTTTCAAATGAACGTTCTATACTCTAATGGGATCTGCAGTTTATGTTCTACGTTACAGGAACAGTATGCTGCAAGAGAGACAGTTCTCTTGGTTTTCTTCGGTAAAGGTAAAAGGAAAAGCTATCCCTGTAACAGGCCATGGAGGCCCATAGGATTATGAGACGTCGAGGCTCCCACATTTTCTATACAACCGGTTCCCAGATGGCGGTGAGGTCAGCCTGAAGCGCCGGCCGTCCTTTACCCCCAGAAAAGTCCTGGTACTCATAGTGCGGTTGAAAGGATTAGGTCAATTGAAAAGTCTAACGACCTTATTGGAAATCGAACCCGCGACCTTCCGGCTTGTAGCATAGTGCCTCAACCAACTACGCTACCGCATGCCTCTTGTTTTCTTTTGTATCTCTAGCTAATATATTATTTTTATCGGGTAAGCCATGTTGTGCTGCAGGAGGACAGGTTCTCTTGTTCTTCCTAAGTCTCTCCAGGCATAAACGCCACCAGGATTTTTTCCCGGGGGGGGGGGACAGCCAATTTTCCAATTGAGGGAAACATTCGAATTTGCCTACACATTTAGATTCAAGTTATGTGAGACTATTTTACTAACTCTGGCAAATTTTAACTGTTATTTTTATGGTATACGAGTATATCCCTCTTTTCTTCATTTTTTTTTTAATTTGAGGGGGCAGATACCTAGCCCCCAGGCGCCCATATCTCCAGGCAAATTCCATGATGATAATAGGTTTGGCCATTTTGTACTCAAGGAGGACTGTTTCTCTTGGGTTTCTCGATCCCAAGAGCGAATTAAGATGTGTTGATAGGATCTGCCGTACTGTACCGCAGGAGGACGGGGACCTGATGCCCACTGACTCTGATGGGAACATTGTGCTGAGCGATGTGGACTACCTGGACACGTGGCGGCAAATGGAGAAGTGTGTGCACCTGGGTCTGACCCGCAGTATTGGCCTGTCCAACTTCAACAGTCAGCAGATAGACCGAGTGCTGGCTAACGCCACCATCAAGCCCGTCAACCTGCAGGTCAGGGTGGCGCCAGTTCAAAAGTCGTGTGATTTCTTTTGCTATTCAAGGGGAATAATTTTTTTCTTATCTTGATCCATCACTGAATTTCTTCAATTGATTTATCGCATTCATACCTTTGGCACATTTTCTCAATTCTATTTCAAAACAGCGAATTCAGTTACACGTTATCCTTAAGTTTCGACTATAGAGTTGCAACCCATATCAGTACATGAAAATTGTTACCTCGTGAGAATAAAATAACATACATACATTAGCAGATAACAGACATACGCAGCAATAAATGATCTCTTATACACAGGCACCTCAATCTCTGGACAACCAATGTCAGTACAACTACATCCTGGTCTCAGATATTTACATAACTGTAGTTATACTGACATACGTTGTCCAGTGATTGAGGTTAGCTCTTTCTAAGGGACCCATCAGAGTTACTTCCCCCTCATCTGAGGACGGAAAGAGATCCATTTTCTGAAAAGCTGTGTCCTCTGGTTTTTTTTTAGAATACCGGACGATGGACAAAGTCCAAAAACCCAATAATTTCGATATGTATACAGTATATTAATTTAGTGGTTATTTTTTATTGTTTTTCTATTTATAGGTAATCTGTTAGCTTTCCTATTTAATATCCACTTGCCCTATATGAATATTTCATTTCTAAATAATACCATTTTGTCGCAGGTCGAGTGCAATCCATACCTTACGCAGAAGAAGCTGATCAACTTCTGCAAGTCACGAGGTATCACAGTCACTGGCTACAGCCCCATGGGCTCTCCTGACAGCCCATATTTCAAGGTGGGCATGCCCCGGCTGCTGGAAGACCCTAAGTTGAAAGAAGTGGCTCAACTTGTTGGCAAGTCCGTGGGACAGGTGGTCCTGAGATACTTGGTAAGTGACACAGGCCTTGTGTTTGCAGTGTAGCCTTTCTGAGCCCTTTCTGCCTACTTACACATAAGTCTCGGATTGAGACTTCACGTACCCCTCTCCACTTGAATACCAGTAGATTCTAAAGTGTTTCGACGATAGTGCATAACACTGAGGATTACTGGGTTTTTGGACTTTGTCAATCGTGTAGTATTCTAAAAAAACGAAAAGAATGAAATTGACAAAACCTGATCACAATGGCATAGGTTCATCAGTGGATGAGGTTAGCTCTTTCTGACGAACCCAATAGAGTAAGTACCTGCCACGCCTCACCCGAGGACAGAAACAGATCCAGTTTTGGAAAATTTGTGTTGTTTTGTATTTTGTAGAATAAGAGACAATGGACAAATTCCAGAAACTCAGTAATCCTGACTTGAATGCTGTTACTACAAACACATTTACCGTAACAAGTCGTAATAATTAGTAACTGTACATGGTTTTATATACTCTGGACTTTCACTGCTGATCTATTCGGTGCAGTGACGGCGAATAACTGAAATAGTGTGTGGCGTCACATCATTTCGATTTTTTTTAAGAAAATGAAATTACTATTTGTTTCTTGGATATTCGCTATACTAACTAGTATATAAAGTATTAATATAAAAATGAAAGTTATTTAAGCAAATTATTCATCAACCCAGAACAATTTAGGGCGATTAGTAAAAACATTTTTGAAAATCATAAACGTGAGTTTGTAAGCAAATTCTCTTGCTTCCTTCCCCAACCCTCCCCAGTCTGGAGACGATTCCGGTGTATCCCATGCATTGAATTTTATCTCCACTCCCCATGAATCTTCAAGGCGCGGTGCTTAGGCACAGGAATTACGTTATATTTTGCTTTTACCAAATCGCGTGATTGCTGTGACATATCTAAGCAGATTTACGTGACTGTTGCATTTATATGAAAACTGTGCATAACAGCGGACTGACTTATTTACCTTTACATTACAGGTGCAGCGAGGACTCGTAACGGTTCCAAAGTCTGTCACCAAATCCCGGATTCAAGAAAACATTAATATTTTCAACTTCGAGCTCAGTGAAGCTGATATGAATTATATTGATTCTTTTAACCAGAACCTTCGGATATGCCACAGAGATCAGTAAGTAATCAGTGTCATTAAGTCCGCAACTTCGTTCCAAGACGACTAACTAATTAACGAATTTACGAAGTTGTTAGGGGGCACGCTGTAGCATAGTTGGTTGAGGCACTATGCTACAAGACGGAAGGTTGCTGGTTCAAATCTCGAAGGGGTCACTGGATTTTTTTACCAATTGAACTGATCCTTCCAGCCGCACTATGGCCCTGGGGTTGACTCAGCCTCTAACAGAAATGAGTAACAGGAATATTCTTGGGGGTAAAGGGCGGCCTGCGTCTAAGGCTGACAACCTTACCGCCATCTATGAACCGATTGTCTAGAAAATGTGGGAATCTCAGCATCTCACAACCCTATTGGCCTCCACGGCCCGTTACAGGGATACCTTGGGCCGCGCCGTAGCTCAAACGGTTACTCGCTGGCTTTCCACCGCGGCGGCCCGGGTTCGATCCCGGGTCTGGTCAAGTGGGATGTGTGGTGGGCAAAGTGGCGCTGGGGTAGGTTTTCTCCGAGTATTCTGGTTCCCCCCCCTTTTTTTTCTTTGACACCACCGCCCCAGTGGGCCTAGGCCTACCTCCATGAACTTCTCCGGTCACTTCGGTTTTTCTAGATCTTACACATTCGGTAGGACTCCTTGGGCGGGTGATGAGCTCGTCGCAAGGCCTCTACCTGTACACAAACACAGAAAAATGCACACACACAAACATCCATGGGATGTGGGATTCGAACCCACGATCCCGGTTTCCAAGCGAGCGAAGACAGTACATGTCTTAGACCGCTCGGCTACCGTGACCGGCTTCGGTTTCCCCTGCCAATCTTCATTCCACCAATTGCTCCACAATCACCCTCACCTATCATCTGGGGCTGGTACAATAGGCGAGAAGTGGCCGCAGTACAAGGGACTTAGTTCCACCCCACAAGCAATAATGAAAAAAATACAGGGATACCTTTACTTTTCACTTTTTATGATGATATATGATGATTTCTTATGCATAACTAGAAGTTTCAAAACTGCAATCTCAAAATTTGCGACATTTGACTCTACCCTGAGCCGACTTAATGCAGTTTAACATCTTTAGAGCCTGTTTCCCTATTCCCATAATCTTCCTATTTACTCCTAGGTCTCTCCAAGGGACAACTTCCTTAATTTTATGTGCATGTTAATAGTATCTGATCTGTAGGATTTAATGTTCTCAGATCGGTGAATATGAAGGGTTCTATCTCTGGGAAATAACTCCATGTAGTCCGTTGAAAGTCATTGAATGTTTCGAAGGAACATTTCGCCTCCATCCGCTATGTGCTTCATGTTGGATTATTGCTTGGCTTATTCTTCCATCCCGAAGATGGAGGATACTTGTTCCGCCGAAACGTCGGTTGACTTTCTGACGCGTCGGTTGATTTTCAATAGACTACACGTCGTTGCATCCCAGAAGATAGAACTCTTAATATCGGATATGTTACTGAGGATAATTAACGTCATTTTAATAATATAACCGTCAAAATTTGGATGTATGCATTTGACATCTTTAATTGTCTTTATGTGAATTAGATTAATTGGCTGTTTTTGGAACTTATTAAATTGTCGTGTCGCTCGCAAGATTGTTTCGAGTGAGTTAGTCGGATTCTTTCGCTTAGGCAAGGCTTAGGTCAAATTTTTCATTTAGTTGTAAGACAGGAGTTAACCCGTAAATTGGATATGGGAGTCCAGGGTACACGGTCGGTCTTCCTTTTGAAATTCTAGACCTTTACATTAGCAGAAGTCGCAACGTTGACGGAGGTGTTTCAAGACCGACGCTTCTAAGGTAAGTTAAACTGTCCCTGTGTTTAATTAAATAAGCACCATCCCATGAAGGCGTAAGTGGGAATGGATGCATAGATCCATATTTTCTTGACATCGGCACTAGTTGGAGGTCAGCTTCACGCTCCGGCCGCTTTACCCCC